CCCCTCTGGGGTCCTTGGGTCCTTCCTGGGTCTGTTGTCGCGCAGGCCGGGAGCTCACGCGCACGCCGCCGGGTGATCGCAGACAGGCAGGTAGGCAGGCAGCTGAAAAAAACCCCCTCTGGGGTCCTTGGGTCCTTCCTGGGTCTGTTGTCGCGCAGGCCGGGAGCTCACGCGCACGCCGCCGGGTGATCGCAGACAGGCAGGTAGGCAGGCAGCTGAAAAAAACCCCCTCTGGGGTCCTTGGGTCCTTCCTGGGTCTGTTGTCGCGCAGGCCGGGAGCTCACGCGCACGCCGCCGGGTGATCGCAGACAGGCAGGTAGGCAGGCAGAGTTTGTAGTGGTTTCAATCCATAGTCGGCTGGCTCTAAGGCAGGGCAGCATGGCAGAAGACACACAATCCACTGGCAGTCACTGGACGTTGATCCATGTTTTGGAAACCACATGAAATTGTAGATGCTGAAAGAAGCTAGGGCCAAGTCGGTGAGGACAGTCTGCCTCAATTTTTGATAGAGGCACTGAAAAGAGTTATCATACACTTGCAGTGGTATGTTAGTAAACTGAGGCTTTGGAAAAAAAATTCTACTTCTTTGCAGTTGCCAATTTCTGTGTTGTAAAAATCCCCACCATGGCACAGTTCAAGTTATCAGTATTTTAACAAGTTCATCAAGTTCTTGAAAGATTGACAACCAGTTCTTATAAACTGCCCAAGCTGGTTCTAGTAGTGCACAATATATATTTTATTTAAAAACTTTAAATACTGTGGAAAATGGGATATGAATTATCATTATGCCTATGACAGCTAGCACAGAACAGGTAATGAATAGGACTGCTTGAATCATGTCAAGGAAACAAATTTCAAATGTATTAAGGAAAAAAGACAGTAACAGCTTTTATCATTATTTCCTATTTTATTCTAGTATTTTTCCCATGGCTATACCATGCAGTGTGATACACTTGCTGAATTCTTTGAGAGCTGTGAACTGGTTTCCTAGGGATGACAGAGTCAAGGAACAGGACTCCACGCTTGGGAGCAAGGCCAAATGCTCAGCCTTCACCTACAACCTCCACGGCCCCAACCCCCGAGTTGATGAAACGCACTTGGTCATTAATTCTATAGCACCCAGCCACAGAATCAGCTGGACCTTTTCCCGTAGCACATGACTGAGTCAGTGTTGTCTTTAGAAAAGCCATATAGGGTGTGTTTTATGTGTTCATGCGTGGGGAATGGCTTCAGTGGAGGCTAATAATATAGTTCTTTCAATACTTTGAGCAGATATATTTTAAGAAAATTGGACCTGAAGTCTATATAGTTAGCTGAGGCAAATTTACTGTCCTGCTTTTAAGAACAAAACTATTCCAGGCACCTGCTTCTTAAAGGCAAAACCCGAAAGGAAATGACTTCTTGCTTAAAGACAACCCACCTTATTTCATGAATTATCAATTTTTCTAGCTGGCACAGAACTCCCAGCTATTGCGAATTTTTAAGCCTCATCTCAAGTAAATTCAGAGCTGCAAGAAAAAAATGTCAAGTGTCCGTTTTAACAAAGGCTCAGTTTGCTAAAGATGAAACAGGATGCAGAGCCTCAGTAAATAAAGTCAGAGGATTGACAAAGATCTGTGGAATGGTGGCAAACGTTTTAGAGACCAAGCTCACAAACTGCAAGCCAAAACCCACTTCTTTATCACAAAGTGCTTACTGTGCAATTAAACCTGAATGTTGAGGTTTTAGTTTAGAAAAAAACAACTGTTACCCAATGTCCAGCTACTGGAATGATGTGGCTCGGGTGCTGACCAAGAGGGCTCTGCATGTACATTTGCGGCAAGTGTGCCATAGGTTCGCCAGCACCGATGTATGGTGTAGGCTCACCACACAGATGTCTTTGCCAACGCATGCATTAACATCTGAGCCTGAATTTCGTTTTACCTTGCAGGATTACTGAGTTTTGGCATGGAGAATATCTTTCCTGTCTTTGTGGTAGCTGTCAGGTGAATAGTCAACAACAATGTAAAGCTCCTGATTTCCTTTTAACTGCTCTGGTGACCCTGGAATGGAGCTTATCAACCTCTCGAAAATGAGAAAGGACTAAATAGCTTTTTTTCTTCACGATTGATAAAGTCAGCCTTCTCAACAGGAATAGACTACAAGATGGGGGTCAAGGGTTAACAGTAGATACTCTTAGACTGCTGTGTGCTAGAAAACAATGAATAGATGTGATTTTCTTAGTACTCATACTAAAGCAACAAAATAAATAAAGAGCTGACTCTTCTAAGATTATTAGAACTAATGTAACAATATGCAAGCAAAAAGTTAGATAAATTTGACTTCTTATGTGATGAGGCCAGAGTCATGTACTTAAAATTAAATGCTAGTTTTGTTATCCTCTCAGTCTTGCTTCAGCCTTTATTTACTTGGAAAAGCAAAGAATTTTGAGGAGAAATATGAATATTCAATTGCATGTTTCAAAATCAGACATTTACACATTCATTTGGGAGAAATGCCAGAATTAATGTAGAAGATTTGTGAAGGACCTCTTGTCCAAACAGAACATTATGCTCCTCAAAGAGGAGAATTCAGGCCTGTAAAACATTATTATTTCAGAAAATGAAGCCGGCCCTTTAACAGATGTGTGATATACTTCCAGTCTGCCGATAGCCTAATAAAAGTCAGTGGTTTAAAAAAAAAAGGATGTGCACTTCTCAAATTATACTACCCAAACACATTTAGGAGAACAAAATTAGAGAGGCACACAACCGCCTATTAAAAATTAGGAACAGACCATGGGAACTTAATAGTTCCAAACACCAATATCAAAATGACCTTTGGATTAAAAGATAAAAAGTTCACCAATTAAACCACAGGGAAAACATGCAATGATATAATCAAAACTGAGAGTAGCTTATTATGAAATTAGAGTTATAAGTAAATAAAAACAGTACATCAATTTCTTCTCTAAGATATAATAAAAATTCCCCCAGAAAGGCAGGTAGCTCTGTACAGCAGAAGCCTTTCCTTTTGTAGGCTTCTGTTTCTAACAGTAAATCTCTCTAGTTGATTGTTGCAATGACCGAGTTAAATGCACACCAAAACACCAAGCCAAGAAGGGCTCAGCCTTTCTTACTCACCGTTCTTGCTCCTCCTTCATCTTCTCCAACTCCTCCTCTCTCAGGTTCCCTTGCTTTGGTGGTGCAGTTTTCTGCTCAGCCTTTCCACTCTTAGCATCTTTCTTCTTTCCAAATCTGCTGAACAGGAAGGAGAAGATGGTTGGTTAATGGCCGTCATACTGTTTTTGTAGTAAATTCATGATATATGTGAGGTGACCTAATTAAGCCATAATTCTTTATTCTGTCATATAAAATCACCTGCATAAAATGGAAATAAAATAATGAAAGCAAAAAAGTAATACAGATACTGAAGTTCTCCTTTTCTCTTCTCTCTTTGCTTTCTTCTTCCATACAGGTACTTATTATGCATTAAGCACAAGATCAAATGATTAAAAGATTGATAATTTTAAATTATTAATTTAGTAGATAGTGACAAGCTTAAAAGATTATTCTTAACATATAATGGAAGACTGACAAATTTTCTTTCTTTTTTATTCTTTGCGTAGTTTTATTCATGTGTATTACTGGTACAGATGAGTGGGTTTCATTTTTGCATGTTTGTACAAACATATAATATATTTTCATAATTCCTCTCCCTCTAACGCTTTCTCTTCTTTTGTCAGTGTTCACCAATAACCTTCCCTGTTCCCTCTTTCTTATTTTCTTCTTCTTTCTTTTTTTAAGGATTCTATATATGACAGAAAACACGGTACTTGTCTGAGTCTGGCCTATTTTGCTTGACATGATAATCTCAAGTCCCACCCATTTTCCTACAAATGACAAGATTTTGTTCTGTCTAGGGCTGAAAACTACACCATTGTCTGTCTATATGTACACAACATTTTCTTTTTTTTTGGTACTGGGGATTGAACTCAGGTCCTTGCACTTGCAAAGCAGGCCAATGAACCTCTGAGCTAAATCCCCGGCCCCACAACATTTTCCTTATTCATTCATCAGTTGATAGGCACCTATGCTGCTGCCGCCTCCTCTAAACCTTAGCTTTTGTGAATTGCACCACAATAAATACTGAGATATCTCTATAGTATGCTGACTTTAATTCTTTCAGGAATATACTGGGCAGTGACACAGCTGGATCAAAATGTTAGGTTTGTTTTTAGTTTTCTGAAAGCCTTCTGGGCTGATTTCTATAGTGGCTGCAGTGATTTCCATTCTCACCAATAGTGCACATATGTCCCCCACCTTCACCTCCTCACCAGTCTGTATCACCTTCTGCCTTGATGATGACCATTCTGACTAGAATGAGATGGTGGAATCTCGGTGTAGTTGTGATTTGCATTTTCCCAATGCCTAAAGATGTCAACTATTTCCCATATACTTTTCAGCCACTTGCACTCCATTTGAGAAGTGTCTGTTCAGTTCACTGGCCATTTATCGACTAGGTTATCTGTGAAAACTGACCAATTTTCTAAACAGGCCTGCACAGCTCTAATGCTAGTGTCATTTAACATGAAATTCATGGGATGTTATAATGACAGGGAGGCAAGGGACCTTACAGAGCACCTCATTCAATATTTTTATTTCAGCACAAGAACCAAAAAAGTCTGGGGTGGGTGTTGAGCCTTGATCAAGACCTCTCACCAGCTGAGTAAGGGACAGGGCTGAGATTAGGCTCTGATCACCACCAGTACTATAGTGTTTCCCCTCAGGCCTCTTAGCTCTCTGACGTAGCCCTCTGCTTCTCAAGTCACTCTGCACTAGCATGCTTGGAACATTTAGCCTACCTGTACTTAAATGGGCACAGTTGCAGTTAAAATGATTTGCAAGAACATCGTCTTTTCCAGCAGGTAAGGGAAAATGAAAACCACATACTTGAAATGAAATAATTATTAGGACAGACCCTTTTGTTAACAAGCATTTCCCCCAGTAGACATTTTCTCTAAATGCATTCTCCTCCATCTTAATATCAATGCACAGGAAGAAAGAGAATGACTTGATGTACTACTAATAGCTAGAGGGTAGAATGTCACTCAATTATGCATACTCATCCGTTAAGGTAAATATTTTTAAAGCCTATAAAATTCCATTTAATTTCCTTTTCTTATAAAATAGTAGCAAGTTTTAACTGTGTTGCTCTTTTCTTATTTCTCTGTCCATCTATTCATTTAATTATATATCCATGTATCTATCTATGTGTCTATTTATTGGTTTATGTAAGTGAACTGGAGAGAATTTTCATATTAGCCATTGTTGGGCTAGCTCTACAACCCACATGCAAGAAATTAGAACCTTCTCATCTGAAGACCTGACATATAATTTTTTAAAATTTTTCATATTTAAGGGTAGAGGGAGTAAAGGGAGGGCAGGGGAATTGGGAAAAAAATAAGAACCAAGATACATCATGCAAAGGTACAAAATCCTAATGATTACTATAACTATATTGCATACCTAAAATGTACCAATAAACCTAATGGAAAAAAATTTCTATACTCTAACCAATGGCCAACACAAAATAAACTCATATGTTTGCCTTCTTTGGAATTCTACAATAATGGATATACATTTACACCTTTCTGGCTTGTGTTTCAATTGCAGCAGAAGTTGTTAGTCAAGAGGTCACTCTGAGTATCACACCTGCAAGATGTCATTGTCATTGCTAACTTTCATAATCCTGCTGTCCTCACAGTACAGATTGTACCCTGTTTTCCCTGGAAGCCTCTCCCAATCTTGACTTCTCTGCCTATTTCTCAATTGACAGTTTCACTTAGTAAGTCTTAGGAAGTCTCTCTCCCCTAAATGGAGAGTATTGCTGTATTCAGTCTAGTTTTGGGAACCTGCTCAAGGAATTATCAGTGAGCTCTAACTCTCCAGTTCATTTTTCCCTCCTCTTTCTTTCATTTTGCCTCCTTTTCTTTTTCTTATTGACTTTATTGGTACATTCTAGCTATACAGTACAGTTACATTCATTACTGGGATCTTGTACCTTTACATGACAGGTCGTGGTTCTCATTTTTTCCCCTTGTCCCTGCCCTCTCTTCATCCCCTATTACCTCATTTTCTTAATCTGTTCTTTTTCTTATGTGTACCTTCATGACAGGTCGTGGTTCTCATTTTTTCCCCTTGTCCCTGCCCTCTCTTCATCCCCTATTACCTCATTTTCTTAATCTGTTCTTTTTCTTTCTCACAACACAAATGATATCATTTACAGAAGTAACTATGGGGCAGAGAAAAATACAGACAAAAATGAGAGAGTACTAGCTTTCAAATACAATTCACAGGTGCAGATATATTCAAGACTGCTCTTTAGCCTACAGAGCAGAAGATATCCAAATAATGTAGACATGAAATATATTCTTTAGCTCTCTAGACCTATGCTGAAGAGTCTTAGGAATCGATACTTTTATTCTAAATACATTCATGGGAGAAATTAATACGTTAGTGAGTCATTTAGATAAATCGCTTCTTCCAAAATTATATTGGATCTAGTAATAATTGGGTATAAATTCAAAATTGTGAGTCAGGGTAGAAATAATTCCTTGGGGTGTTAATGAGGGTGAAATTGCTGCCAAAACTACAGCTTCACATTTTTTTCCCACATCATCTATATTTTTTGCTAAAAAATATAGAAGTTTGGATTTCTGAGATGAAATTTAGCCTTGTTTTTGAAGGGTAACTTAACCTATTCCTAGTCAGCCTTGATCTTTAGTGCCAGATTCCATACAGAAGGTTTCCTTCTGAAACCTAAAACATGTTCTGCAGTTAGAGAATAATGTCCTATACTTCTACCATTCTGAGATATGTTTGATGAAGAAAAAATTTTCAGTAAATTCTACAAAGTGCTTTCTTTTTAAAAAGAACCATCAATAAGTAAACCAATTACCTAAATATTATAAATGTTTTTATTTAAAAGTTTACCATCTTTTACTTAATTTTCTCATACATGGATAGAAGTACCTGTAAAATTTATTTTATTAAACATAGAAAATGATTATGAGCCATCTTTTTTGCAGAGTTTGAGCAGGTTTAAGAAGAGAATGATAAAACAGTAGTCTTCTAAAGGACTCCATTGTTAAGATGAGAAAGTTGAGAAACAGAGAAGCTAGTGGATTTTATTTATGAGTACATTGAATTCTTTTTCCAGCTTTATAAAGAAAAAACTTAGGGCTGGGGATTTAGCTCAGTGGTTCAGTGGCCTGCCTTGCAAGCGCAAGGACCCGAGTTCAATCCCCGGTACCAAAAAAAGAAAAAACTTAATCATCAGTGGTGGTAGGGTGCGAGGACAGGTAGGGGCATCAAGAGGAAAGAATAAACTTGGTTAATTTTATAGCCTCTGTTCCCCTTTCCACAGCAGCCCTTTAAGGGTCATTTCATAGCCCGCCTTACTTCCTTTCCATACAGAAAAGAGATTTGGGGAGATTCTGCTCTCCTTAGCTATTATTGTGAGAAGTCATGAGCACCCTTTCTGGGTCCAATCACTGTTTCACACTCTGGGTATCAAACCTCCTCTGCATTCCAGCCTACCATTATCTATTACCTTAGAAATCTGACAGTTGGCCTTGGTGGGCTATGTGCTTTAAGAAAATTACTTATAGGTCAACCTTGCTTTATAGAAAAGACATTTTCCTGAAAAATTCTGTGCAAACATATGGGTTCAATCAATAAAATTTTATTTTATAGGTACCTGGGTAGTCTGTCCAAAGAATCTTGTGATGGATCTTTTTATAAAGTGGAAAAATCACCTTTCAACATATTCTCTATGTAAATTTATATTTTCATGAATTATAAGTTTGCTTAAAACATCTGCCCCTGTTCATTTCTCCAGAGGATATATGAAACAGCTTCAGGGAAAATTTTCTCTTCTTGCTTGATTTATTTTCCTTCCCTCCTTTTTTCTTTTCTTCCCTTTTCCTCTCCCTCTTTTCTTTTCTTTCTTTTTCTTTCCTTCCTCTTTCCTTCTTTTCTTCCTTCTTTCTTTAATTCTTTAAAAAAATTACAAATCTACTATTTGCCAGTTACTGTCATCACAACTTGATGTAGGTTGAAATTATGTTGAGATAAAAACCACACAGTATTCTCATGGACTTTATATATGCTAATAAAGTACATAGTAACCAAGCAAGCATAAATGTGTAATTGCAAACTGTGAGAAATGATAGAAAGATGTTAGAAGAGACAGT